AGGCATTCCTCGTTGAAGAGCAATAATTGCAATGCTCTATCCCCAGCACGACAGAGTTTAACAAGATTACCCAGACCTTCCGGCCAAGGTGAATAACTCGTTGGCTCTGTCAGTGTAGCGCGCGTGCGGCCCAGAACATCTAAGGGCATCACAGACCTGTTATTGCCTCAAACTTCCATCGGCTTGAGCCGATAGTCCCTCTAAGAAGCCGGCGACCAGCCAAAGCTAGCCTGGCTATTTAGCAGGTTAAGGTCTCGTTCGTTATCGCAATTAAGCAGACAAATCACTCCACCAACTAAGAACGGCCATGCACCACCACCTGAAAAATCAAGAAAGAGCTCTCAATCTGTCAATCCTTATTTCATCTGGACCTGGTGAGTTTCCCCGTGTTGAGTCAAATTAAGCCGCAGGCTCCACGCCTGGTGGTGCCCTTCCGTCAATTTCTTTAAGTTTCAGCCTTGCGACCATACTCCCCCCAGAACCCAAAAACTTTGATTTCTCGTAAGGTGCCGAGCGAGTCAGAAAAAGAACATCGCCCGATCCCTAGTCGGCATAGTTTACGGTTAACTAATGAAAACATTCTTATGATACTGGTGGAGTAGTAAGCAGTCTCTGATTATAAGAGTAGGAAGAGAGCCGTTTTGGATAGTTGTAAATGTTGCGGTATCAAGTGCAAATGTATATAACGAGCGTATTGTGTTGTTATATTGTTGTGTTGTTGTTTTGCTTGTCTCTTTGCTCTCCAAGGCTCGCTGCGCGGTCTGTTTTGATGATGTCTTTGTGATGCAGCTGAGATAAGTGGTGTTCAACAACATGAGGAAGTAGCACCAGACCATCGCTAACAACACGTGAGCTGCTTCTCCTCTCAATTGTTACAGTATAACCTATTTACTATTGTACAATCTCTACTCACATATGCAATGGATCCCGTTATTATTTCCACGTCTAGGTGTTTATTTACACTACCATACCAAGTATCTAGGCATTGCCTGTTGTCATGAAAATTCCAGAGGGGTGTTAGGGAGGCTTTAGGTGGTGCATCACGATATTAACTGTCACTTCTTGATGTGGACACAGTGTGAACCTTCCGAGTGAACAGAGATGACCATTCGACCTCAGGCATCTTTACTCGACTGCCACACGATCTCTACATAACGAAGCCTTGTGTTTAATTGCGACTAACGTGAGTGTATAGCGAGTGGGCCGGCTAAGCGAGTGGACCTCCTCAACAAGCTATTGGGCCATCCCACCTTTAAACCTCAATGGACTAATCACTTAATCTTGAATTGCTCTTAAAAGAAGACTCAATCAGGCTTGCACTTCAAGCAATTAGGAAGCCCTAGGAACTAAGCGTGCGACGCGCTGCAGTGGTCTATAAGGTATCAAAAACAAACCCTCAACAGCGATGTGCTGGGACGCAGTCAACACGCGATACCTACCCTAAATCAGCAAATCTACAAAAGACAGAAGAGGGGATGCTTGTGCAGTATATTAGGAAGCTAGATTCCTAAGGATTTGCCCCAACGCTTCATTGTGTTGAAGATATGGCTAATCAACTGTGCGCTGCACGAGGCGCAAAGCCTGTTGGCCTACGATTGGCTTCAAACTTCGTTAAACGCGAATCTGGACTTAAATTGCATATGAATCGACAGAGGGATCGCCAGAGAGTCGTGTGCAGTGACCTAGGGGTTATTGGGCCTTGTTTTGACCTTGTACGCAATGTTAAGGCCAAGTACAGCATCCTAGATGAAGATACCTACAACTTTGACGAGACTGGTTTTACTATAGGCATCAGGAATTGCGTTAAATTAGTCACTGCATCAGAGAGACGTACTGAGCCCATTGTGTTGCAACAGGGGGACTGTGAGTGGGTGACTTTTATTGCTGCAATTAACGCGATGGGCTAGGCAATTGCGCCCTACCTCATCTTCAAAGCAAAGAACCACGACGCGTCCTGGTACCCTGATTTGAGGCCGCAATAGTGCATTAGGGTCAGCAACAACGGCTGGACTACAAACAATATTGATGTAGCCTGGTTGAGGCACTTCATTGAGCAGACCAAGGGCCGGAGGGTGGGTAGCCATGTGCTGCTGATAATCGACGGCCACGAAAGCCACAAGTCGCTTGCCTTCTAGGATCTTTGCGAGGAGAACAAGATAATTACCCTATGTATGCCCTCACACTTATCACACATCCTGAAGCCGCTTAATGTGGGCTGTTTTGCCCCCTTGAAGCGGGAGTATAGCAAAGAGATTAGAGTCTTGGCAACAGACCACCTTGGCCGAATTGACAAGAAGGCCGTCATCGCAACGTTTGCAAAGGTTTTTGAGAAGGCGTTCTTACAAGAAAATATCACATCAAGCTTCAAGGCAACTGTCTTAGTGCCCAATAACCTATTAGTGGTGCTATCAAAGCTTGATGTCAAGCTTCGGACGCCAACACCGCCTCTACCAGGGGGGACCCAATGGAACCCCAAGACACCCACCAACGCCAATGAGATAGAGTCTCAATCAACGCTGCTTCGCGATCTTATTCAAAAGCACCAAGGATCATCACCAACTCCGATGGTGGAGATCATTGATCAGCTGCAGAGAGGCACTGCAATGCTACTGCATTGGCAGAGGTTATTGGCAGCCCGAGTGCTGCAGCTTGAAGCGTCAAACAAGGCTGCTTCCGAGCGCAAATCACGAAAAAGAAAGCGGAATCAGAAGGGTGGAGACCTTTCAAGGGAACAGGCAGAGGATTTGATAGCCCAATGCGACGTTGGGGCACAGGTAGAGGGGGAAACGCGTGAGGGTAGGGCCCGAACAGGTGCAGGCAAGCATGGCAAAAGGCACTGCAAGCGCTGCAGTAAGACAGGGCACAATTCGCGCACGTGTGAAAAAGATGTAATAGACGTTAGTGATTAAGAATATGTACTGTTAGCTACAGTACAACGTTGTAGTGTTGAGTAATTAAGTGTAGAAGGCCTAATAGCTTGTTGAGGCGGTCCACTCGCTTAGCCGGTCCACTCGCTATACACTCAAGTTATGCGCTTTTTGTGGAGCGTTGACTGAGCAAGCTGGATATGGAACAAACTTCCGCCTTCTCCTGCTGTTCAGCTAAGAATGCTTCTCTTTATCATCCATATAACCACCAAGATAGTCGCGTTATACGCCAGACTAGTCGCAGGTGGAACCTCCAGTACCAGTCATAGGCGTTGCGGTTGTATCGATCGCTCCGCCTGAAACAGGGTAATATCCGCTCTTGGCTTGGAACGCGCAGTCGTGGAACCAGGTATCACCATCAATTCGTTTTCCAGATTGGGCAACGCACTAAGTTGTTAGAATATTACACTGGTTCAAAAGGTGCATACTTACACGACCGGCACCTGGATCGTATTTGGCCTATTGGAATTAGCTGAGAATGGTTATAGGGACTTTAGAGACCTTACAATATCAGAGAAGGTGTTCTGGCAGGTATTGAAAGTCAACTGCCAGTCATAGTGCCAACTTCCGTCTTGATTCTGAATCTGACAGTCGCATTGCTTGTGGTCCTTGGCAACCACAGCTGAAAGAACAAACGGGAGAAGAGCGAAAATGAAGTGCATTGTAGGAAGCTTTGACAATCGGATGAGTGTTAAGTGCGGTGCTTGGAGAGGATTGAGTTGCTTGCAAAAGAGATGTTCTGCCTGTTGAGGGAGAAATTAGCATCTTTATATCTTTCAAGGCTTGATCATAGCTGCCCTCATCATTTCGTGCACGTGAAGTAGAATGCTGTAGCTCTACCAAAACTAGTATGGTAGCACGCATAAGTTTTGTGAGTGGGTCTGGAATAACAGGGGGCTTTTCGGACGATCCACTCACAAAACTTATGGCTGCTACCATAGTAAACTAATCAACCGCGAACGGTCCGAAGACAATTCGTACTCATCAGAAGCAACGGCGGACCTAGAACCCAAAGCACAAGAGTTACGAACAGCCCCTACTTTACTCGGCCAAGATGAGCGGTCAGGTATCAACTAATTGGGGGATTTGTCCCGGTCTAACTGCGGACATCAGCGCTGCCGTATCTCTGATGATTGACCGCTTACCGCTCATTTTATCCGACCAAACCCCTGACCTCTAGTTAAGTGGACTAGCTAGATACGAAGCTGTTGCAAAAGATACATCCACTATCCTGTGCAGCAAGAGGTTGATTGATAAATCTTTTGCTGCGCGACAGTTACGAGCCTGGAGCCGCTGAAACTGCGCAAGTGAGCTCCAAGTGGATCCTATTGTGAAGGAATAGACAGGTGATCCAACGTGGGGCGAAAGGTCGTATATCTATTAGGGTAAACTACTTCGTATTGTAGGAACGAGATCGTAAGGGTCCAAGCTTGACGAATTTGTTTGGTTATGCGCACGTGGGCCAGGTTGTAGATAGGAGCACGGTCTTTGGCGCGTCGGTCTCGTGTTTTTCAGCTTGGACACAGAATTGTTAGTCAACCAATCAGCCGCCTACCGGTATCGCGTCGGTCGCGCTATCTAATTTCGGCTCTTCATCGGCCTAGAGTTAATAAAGCCACATCTGACCGAACATAGTGTCTTGAAAAACGAAAAGGGGAGTCTTCACAGAGACAAGAGACAAGAGTAAAGACTTTGGAGTTGTACTGTTAGCTATCTTGGGTATTATGCCAGCAGCAACATTCCACTGAGCCTTTATTACAGCCCCGTTGTCATAATTGCTCCATCTCAGCTCAAGACAGGCCTTTGCCAAAGTAGAAGTTACAGCACCTTACGTTGCAGTTCCTCTCAACCTTAAGATGTGCCTCTGCAATCAGATTAGATGTGTAAGCATGTCACTGCTGAATCAAGCGTTAGTTCAGCAATTGTTTAGCAAATTACCTGTAACTCCGTTGCTTCTGTGATGACTGTCGTTAACACAAGAGTTGCCAAGAAGTTAAAGTTTGAAGCTTGCTTACATATCGTGGTTGGTAACCCCACACAGACCCGTTCAAACCGCGCCACCTCTAACTAGCATAGGTATAGGCTGAATCCCACATAACTGAAATTATACGGTGAATTTGCCTACTTATACAGCTTTGCAATCAATTGTCTCCACTTACGCTTAAGTCCGAGTTAACTCTATTGGGGGTGGGGGGTGGGGGGTGGGGACGCTTCTGAGGGGTTTTGCTGCCAGAACTGTTAGAGCGAAAAGATAGCACAAGGCAACTAGTGATCTGATTCGTAGGTTTCTCGCCAATGGTTAAGTTCTGTAAGGGTTCCTTGTACCAGCAACAATGGAACTTCTTGTCCACATCTTCCTTCAGATTAGATAGTTGTAAAAAGTCGATGCACAGAGTCAACCCAAACGCAGAGCATCAAGTCTAGATTGTTAACATGAGGCTGCAATACGACACTAGGTACTGCCAAAGCTTAGGGCTTCGTATTGGTGATATCTAGCCATTAAGTGATCGTCAAAGAGCTCGGACTAAGCAACCAAGTGGCGGCTGAGTCTGCCAAGACGTGGCTTTCAGACTGTAATCATTCTGACCGCATTCCTGCAAATCTCCGGCAACGGGAATTTTTTGAATTGTCATAGTCTAGCTGATGGGTGATTGTTAAAATGCTTAGGCTGAGAAATCGATTGGCAACAGAGACGCCGCTTTCAACCTGTGATTGGTTTAACCGCGTTGCTGCAAATTTCTGGCAACAGGCTTTCTTCGTAGGTTCCCCTTTCTGGGCAATACCCTGGAGTTTTAACCTGTTTTCTGTGACGAAGTCCTTCATGTTAGGTGAGTATAAAGTCGTCTGTATTCGCCCTCTTGCAGTTTATACCAGCCACTTTCTCAACTACCGTACATTTGTTACAGCATCGTCGGTCGTATACTTAGAAGCCACCATTCCAAGCAAGGTTAAACGCTTAACGTCATTATGGTTGCCGTCCTCCTTACCCGTGGCCCCGCTACGGCCATTGCACTCCTTACCGCTGTTGCTTCACTTACTGGTGGTGTGTTCTTTACCGCCTTACGAAATTCGGTAATCGACTGTTCCAGCGGATCATCTACCCATAAAGCTTGCCTAGTTTCTGTGGTCGAAACGACTTTCTCCGCTCTCATTACAGTTGGCGCCGCTGGTGGAGCAATCTTCATTGGACTTACATCTCCTACCCCAAGGGATCTCTCAGGAGCTTCAGCTCTCTTCCGTCTGGATGGCCAAGACATTGACTGGCATGAAGGTATGGGCAGCCACAGGTTTGGCCTGAATCGTACCCTTGCCGATCCCGCCGTTGTTGAGTACCAGCTTAACTCAACCTCACATGTGGCCAAGTACCTTTCATACCAAACTGAAGAGGGACACTTAGTCATGCGTCACGACACTGGCATAGATGTGGCTCACGGACTACTGAAGCGTGGCACCTGCCGTGCTTACATTGACACTGTTATTTTCGGTGACGATTTGAGGGCTTCCGAACTTGCATCTGCCATCCCTGCTGCTCAGTACGAGGCAGGAGCTACTGCTCTTGTCGACCACATGATCAATTTCCAAAAAGACTACGGTTGCATTGAGCTCCAGGCCTTGAGTGGCGCTACAGCGACTGGAAACGCAGCACGTTTGGCGTTTGGAGCATCATGTTCCCACAGCATTCCAAACACTCCCAACTGCAGAACTGCAGACTACAACCTCATACTGGCCAAAATGACCGAGTCGTAGAGACGCTACGCATTAAAAGACACATTTTTGTTAAAGGAAACACTCTCCTGTTCTATGTAAGAAACAACCCAGTGCCATGGTTGTATGTTCTAATATTCTCAATAGACTTTCGGATTTGATTGGCATTTAATGAAATCATAATTGTTGTATTTACGTTTTGTTCTTTCTGCATATTTCAAGCTCATAACGTTAGCCTTAGAAATATCTTATGCTATATGTATCACCTCTTATGTAATGACAAGTGCCAGACAGACGTCTCACTCTACACGAAGACATGCAGTGCATATGTTGCGGTATCAAGGGCAAATGTATACCGTGTCCGCCGGGCTCGTGCACGGCTCGGGCTCATGCACGCGATCACCAAAACATCCCAAAATCTTCAACACCATAACTCCACCAAATGGACTCCGTTTCCCTAGCTATTGAAAAGGCACGCGCAGCAAGCTCAGACAGATCATTTTCGTACCAGGAGGTTGCTGATGCGATAAATGCGTCGCGATTGACAGTGTTGCGAAGGGCGAGAGGCGTAACCACGTCGCGTGCGGACGCCTATCAACAACTACAAAAACTCACAACAGAACAGGAATATGAGCTTGCTGCTTATATAAAAGAGCTCACAGAGCGTCACCTGGCACCTACAAGGCAAATGATACAAAATTTTGCGTCCGAACTTGCTCACGAGAGCGTTGGCGACACCTGGGTGTCTGACTTCCTGCACTGTTACACTGAGACTCTCCTATACAAATGGAGCTGCGCCATGGATTGCCAGCGCTATTACGCCTCATCAGAGGATAAGTACAAGCGCTATTTTGATACGCTGTACTCTGCAATTGAAAAATACAACATCCTGCCCTGCAACACGTACAATATGGACGAGAAAGGCTTCGCTATAGGCCTTATTGGAAGGAGCAAGCGCGTATTCTCTAAGCAATCATTTGAGCAAGGAAAGGTTACACAAGCGCTACAGGATGGCAACAGAGAGTGGGTGACACTGCTGGCAAGCGTGTGCGCTGACGGGAGCGTTCTGCCTCCAGGCATCATTTTTACGGGCGCCGACAACACTATACAGAGTACATGGGTGGAGGATATAGAAGAAGGAAAACACAGCGTCTTTGTCACTGCAACTCCCTCAGGCTGGACAAACGACAGTGTAGGATTAGCGTGGGTTGAGCAGCTGTTTGACCGCTACACCAAGAAGAAAGCGCGCAGAAGCTGGCGATTGCTCATTGTCGATGGCCACGGCTCTCATTTGACGATTGCTTTCATCAATTACTGCGATCGCCACCGGATTCTGCTACTAATCTTTCCTCTGCACGCTACACATGTGCTTCAGCCGCTCGACGTAGTGCTGTTTGCTCCTCTTGCTGCTCAGTACTCTGCCGCCGCTGTATCGCACCTTCACAATAGCCAAGGCTTGTTGGGGGGTGCATAAGAGCGACTTCTTCCGCCTATTCTATGAGGCGTGGGAGTCTACTTTCTACCCAGAACTTATACTCAGCTCCTTCGTTAACACAGGCATCTTTCTGCAGAATCTAAGCGTTATACTTAAGCGATTTGAGCAACGAGGCAACAGCGAGCCAAGTACACCTCCAGCTATTGCTGGTAACAGTTGGCGATCAATTGACTGGCTCTTCAAGTCTGTCGTGGCGGAGGACGACTCTGAGGCGGCAAAGCAATTAAGGCAGACTCTCCACCACATCTCCACTTAAAACGTGCTTCTAGAGACTGAAAACAACAGACTTTGCAGTACAATTGCACGCTTAAACCCCTTAAAAAAGCAACAGAGGACTCTTAACTTGCAGCAGGATAAGAAGTACAAGTCTGACGCCACGCTCTACAGTCCTTGTAAAGTACGCAAAGCCTGACAAGAAGCTTACAACAATGAACAACAGCAACTTGAAGAAACAATTGCTGAGCATCACAGGAAGGAGCAATAAGCGCAAACTGCCCTTCAGAACAAGTTAGAGAAAGAGAGATGCTCTGTTGCGTACAAGAATCGCCTTATGTCGCAGTGAGTGCAAGCAGTGCGCAAGGAATTGAGGATTGAACTGAGGTTGTATTGTGTGAAGCTACGAACGGTATATCTACATAGGTGGCTGTAAACAGCGCTAGTGCAAAACAGGGAGTCGCCTCTCACCAAAGGTGAGGCGCGGGTTGCCTATGAGGCAAGAGACACGCAAACCGTGACACACCCCCTAGCTGCCGTAGGCTCAACGGCAGGGAGTCGACGACAGCTAATCAGTGTCGATTTAGTAGGTGATAGATAGCATCAATGTCATCGTTGTCAGCCTGACGTAGGCCCTTCAGGCGCTCAGTAATGTTAACAAGACCAAGTTGGCGGATAAACTCAGCGAACTTCTGCTTAGGTAGAATCTTCGTGAGTCCGTCAGCAGGCATGTGATCAGTAGGTACCCATTTGACGTTAATACGTGAGGCGGTGACCTCCTGTCGGATCCAGAGCTGATGGATATCAACGTGTTTGACTTTTGTGTGAAGCTTGTCGTGCTCCTTCGTAACAATACGGACAGTCTGCTAGTTGTCGCACCAGATCGTAGGTATACAGTCGAGCGTGAGGTTGATGCCAGCGAAGAAACGCATCCACTCTTCCATCTGCGAGGCTGCGAGGGAGAGCGAGAGCAATTCAGACTCTGTGGTTGATTTTGTGACTGTGCGCTGGACAGTCGATTTCCAGTCGATCATAAGTCCTCCAAATTTAAAGGCGTATCCCTGAGAGCTCCGGCGAGTCTCAGGCTCGTCAGCGTACGAGGCATCAGATGATCCAAAGAAGAGAGGATCGCGGTATGTAGGATCGTCAGTGAGATACTCGGCCATGTCGTGCGCGCTGGCAGAGGCTTCAAGGGCGAGAGCCTTCGTGCTGAGCAGGTAGCGCCAGGTCTGGCGGATCTTTGAGATGTGAGACTGTCCTGGGTTGATGAGGTGGCAGGCAAAGACAACGTGCGTTCGGGCGACGTCAGGTCTACCCCAGACAGCGATGTATGCAAGAGAACCAACAAGCTGCTGGTAGAGCTTCGTACGAGCAGTATCAGTCTCCTCAGTAGACTGTGGCAGCCAGTTCTCCGTCAGTGGGACGTCTGGAGCCTTGCCCACAGCCTCAATGCTGAATCGAGCGCACACCTTGTCAATGAAAGCGTCTTGGACTAGCCAGGTCTTGTGCAGAGCTCGGTCGCGGACGATGCGGATACTAAGAAACTAGGTAAGGTCTCCTATTACTTTGATGTTGTATAGGTCTACCAGATCCTTCTCAAAGGACTGGTGGTGATAGGTGTTTGATTGATGAAACGCCATAACAATGTCGTCAACGTAGACAAATATGATAAGCCAGCAGCTTGTATATAGGCATGGGAAGCCGTTAACTGGCTTTAGGCCTAGTTTTACAAGCTGTTGACGTAGCTCATTGTACCATAGGATTGGTGACTCCTTCAGGCCGTACAGGGCGCGGAGCACCAGCATGATCTCGCCTTCGGTATGGCGGAAGGCCTCAGGCGTTTCAGCGTATAGCTTGCGGTTGGTTTTTGCGTTCAAGAAGGCAGTAGGGACGTCGTACTGCTTCAGTTCAAGATCGAAGTAATTAGCGATTGCAATAAGAGCGCGAAAGTTGCGGATAGCAAGTGTAGCAGCGTATGTGTCGTCTATCGGAGCTTGGAGGTCTCCTCGGACAACGAGTCGAGCCTTAAACCGTGAGAGATATCCATCTTCATCCGTCTTGTAAGTAAAGACCCACATTAGCGGCAGTACCTCACTATCCGCAGTGGCCTTTGATTGCTCTGTCTGTCCAAAGACGCCTTTGGCGCGTAGATCTCGCCATTCAATCTCCATAGCACGTCGGAATTGATTGCCGAACATGTGTGTATTAAGACGGTTTTCTAACTTTGGCAGAGGCGGCAGCTGTGACTGATGGATTCGTGGTACTTCATCTGCGCTGGCTGAGGCTCTGTCAGAGAGGATCTCGGTTGAGAACGCTCGCAGGTAATCGACGAGAGGCTCAGGTCCCATCCTCGCTGCGTAGATCTGTACTGCAAAGTTGTTCAGATCCCTTAGCTTTCGATTGCGCTTGCCCAAGACAATCAGGTTTGTGTCAGTTGGATCAAGATTGACGTCCCGTGGCGCTTTCTCGCCTCGTCGGCGGTAGCCCTTAGGAACCATGTGTATTGTGTCCTCCTCAGGTAATTTAGAGGTTAGCAGTGTGTCGTCAGATTCGAGTGCGTCGTCAGCCATCTCACCCCCCAACTGGGAGCCTCCAGCTGTCGGAGCTGAGGTCACAGGTGTTGTTTGGCGGCTGCGTTGGCGCGCGGTCAGCAGGTCGTCGATGCTGACATCATCATCCTGCGGCATCTCTGGATATTCGAGTAGCTCGATCACCTCCTCGATCACTGGTGTAGAGGCGTAGCCATCCATTCCATCAAAGAATAGCGTAGGTTCGAATACGACGTCGCGTGTGACGATAACAGTGTCTTTTGTAGGCAGCCATATGCGGAAGATATTAGTGCCTTGGTAGCCAACAAGGTGGCCGATGAGAGTACGCGATTCAAGCTTGTCGGCAGCTCTCAGGTCGCGGTTGTATACATAGGCGCGACAGCCAATAGGCCTCATATGAGCGACGAGTGGCTTTCGTCCCCATACGACCTCGTACGGCGTCTTCCAGCCTAGTGCTTCAGTTGGCGTACGATTGAGGATGTACGCGGCGGTGCGATACATCTCCTGTGATAGGTTCTTGGGCAGGTTGGCGTGTATGCGCATAGCGCGAGCTCGCTGCGTAAGGACTCCGCCTGCGCGTTCAATAAGCCCATTTGGTTCCTTTGTGCCAGCTGGGGCCGGCTCGTATAGCATGCCCAGCTCTTCTGTAGTGTTGATAAGATCGTTGCCAAATCCTTTCTCGTTGTCGCATCGGATGGCGACTACGTCCGCGTTGTACACACGTTGGATTCGACGGATCAAGGCCATGAACCAACGAGTAAGTGTTGGCTTGTCCTTTCGCTTGATTGTGGCGATCTCATGCCACTTCGAGTACTCGTCTATAGAGTGTAGGGCGTACTTGCTGCCGTCGATACACTCCTGTCCCACAGGGATGATGTAGATCAAGTCTATTGCAATTCGAAAGAACGGTCGTTGTGCGCGGCTCTCAGCCGGGCGTCTCGAGATGATGTGAGTCATTCGAGCTTCAGTGCAGGTCTGGCAGAGACAGTCCATGTGGTCTCCTGTCAGTTGGACGCCAGTGACGTTTGATTCAAGCCGGTCGACTGCCTTTCAACCTGGGTGGCCCCAAATTTGATGAGCAGCGCGTCGATCAACGACATTGGCAGGCTTTGGCGCGTACGATGGGCGATATGATGCCCCAAACGTACTCAGCGGTGTGTTGAGAAGCGACAGCGGTGGTCGGCGTGATGGCTCAGCATCAATCAGCCAGTGTCCTCCATTGTATTCGAGTTGTGCGATAACGTTCGATGTCTGTCGCATGTAGAGGACGTCGCGGCCGGAGTCGAAGTGGATTGACTCTGTACGGCAGCGTGCGAGTCCTAAGACGCTTGTAAGGAAGCCTTCGACGTACGCGACGTGCGTTAGCTCCAGCTTTAGCTGTCCATGTGGTGTACGGACGACGAGTTCCATCGTTCCCCACGCGGTGATGAGGATACAGGTATTGCCAGCGTTGATAGAACGACGTTGTGGATTGTCACTCGTCCTCCTCCAGCCCTTCCATGCCTCTGT